CACACGGTAGATGGAAGGTCGACGTCTCGGGGCGCCACCGCTCTACGAGCGCAGTAATCAAACTCGCATCGGAGTTCATAGGGACTAGGGGCACGACACTTAACAAGCCTGCCTCTTCGAGATATGGCCGATAAAGCTCATGGTAAGGTACTAAAATGGTCGTACCTCGAACATGGTAAGATCGATCACCAGCCTATAGTGCACAAAACTTATATTAATTCATTTTCATTCGTAATAATTCTAATTTCACCTAATAAATTCTAATCTGTCTTATCTAACATAAAATTATACTAATTTCAAATTATACTAATTCACCTAACAGTTCAGTTCACAACCTAAAATAATCTAATTAGCTAATTAACTTTACATGAATAATTATCAAATACTTACCTCGTTTGTCCAAACAGAGTCGATACGATGTTGGCCATGTCCCCAAAGAAGTGTCGGATCGACCGGACTTGGATCAATTGTCGTCGGCGGTAATCTCATCGAATAAGGATCCATAAGCCTAGGAACTGCAAAAACAAAGCAACAAAACATTAAAAAAAACACAAAACATTAAAAAAAATCAAGCCGCCGACGAGAGTCTCACCGCGCAAACGGCCGCCGACTCCACCACGACCTCGCCGGCCTCTCCCTCTGCCTCTGCCGGCGGCGACTGGTTATTCGTCGAAGGACATCTCGGGCGGCGGCGCTTCAGTCAAAGGCGGCGGCGCTTCAGTCTTCGGCGGTGGCGCTCCACTCGGCAGCGGCGACGCCCGACTCTGCGACGGCGACGCCTTAGTCTTGGGCGGCAGCGCTTGCGGCGGGAGGCTGGTAGGGTTCTCTCTGGTTCGGTTGGGGGGTGTGTGTGTGTGGTGTGGAGGAGTGAAGAAGAGGAAGGAAGAAGAAGAGGAGATAAGGTGGGAGGTGCCCGAGGTCGGTATTTTAAAAAACAGAAGGATGGGGCGCTGCCGCTGGAGACTCGGGCGCCAGCGCCTAGGACTGAGTCAAAAGAATGACTGAGGCGGGACCGCTTGAGACTGGGGCGCCAGCGCCCAAAACTGGGTAAAACATCAGCCCCGCCTGAGTCTCAGGTGGTCCCGCCCCAAACCTTACTAAAAAGCACAATATCTGTGTCAATATTTTTTAATTTGCAATATTAGTGGTAAATTAAAAAAAAAACAATATTTGTGTCATTATCCCGAAAACTTAATTGTTAACAAACATAACATAAGTACTTATTTGTATCTTTTACATAATGGATAAACGTGTGTAGCTACTACCTATTATATTAATCCAAAGTCCAAACAACATACCATCGATCGGGTACAACTGTACAAGGTATCTTTTCGTTCCCTCTGAAATCTAGTTTTCAATATTATCATTGCAATTTGCAAATCTGGTCACGCCATCAGACCTCTACTTCAGCAGTTCCCATGAATAAAGAATGAAGAAGAAGACAAACCCCATTTTCTCCGGTCAATAATGGCTCTGCTTCTGCTGTTTTGACCCTCCGTCGCCCCCCTCCATAAAAGTGCACGAGTTTCTTTCTCCACAATACCACAACACTCATCTCCTCCACCACAGCCCCCGTTCATTAATTCCTCATTCGATTCCACCCGCCATGGAATTCTCGTACCCAGCCATCTTCGCCTCTCTTCTCTTCCTCGTCCCCTTCCTCCTCCTCAAATTCCACCGCAAATCAAACCCCTCCGCCGCCGCCACTGCAGCCCCGCCGCCTCCGGGACCCACGAAGCTGCCCATAATCGGAAACCTCCACAACCTCGCCGGCGGCTCCCTGCCTCACCATCGCCTCCGGGACCTCGCAAAGGAGTACGGCGGCGTGATGGGCCTCCAGCTGGGCCAAGTCCCCCACCTGGTCATCACCTCCGCAGAAGCCGCAAAAGAAGTGATGAAGACCCACGACATCGTTTTCGCGCAGCGCCCCGCCTTGCTCGCCGCCGAGATCGTCAGCTACAACTTCACCGACATCGCGTTCGCCCCCTACGGCGCCTACTGGCGCCAGCTCCGCAAGATCTGCATTCTGGAGCTCCTCAGCGCGAAGAGGGTCCAATCTTTCGGGTCGATTCGGGAGGAAGAGGTTTCCAACGCGGTGACCCGAATCGCAGATTCGGCGGGTCGGGAGCTGAATTTCAGCCGGATGCTCTTCTCCCTGACCCACGGAATCGCCGCCAGGGTCACTTTCGGGAAGAAGTACAATGGGCAGGACGAGTTCATTCCCGTGGTGGAGAACATCACTCGCGCCGCCGGTGGTTTCAGCCTCGCCGATTTGTACCCTTCGGTGAAATTGCTCCACGTTTTGAGCGGGATGAGATCCACGCTTCTCAAGCTGAGAGGTGAAGCTGATCGGATGCTGGGGAGTATAATCGCCGACCATAGGAGCAGGGGAAGTACGGAAGATTCCGCCGCCGGCGAGGTGGACGATTTGGTTGATGTTCTTTTGAGGCTTCAGGGTAATGGCGAGCTGGATTTCCCCCTTACCGATGACAACATCAAAGCCGTCATTCTCGTAAGAAGTGCCCCAAGAAAATTTCCATTATACTGTTTTGCTATTCGTATAAAATCAGGATTTTCAAATCAACGGATTTCAAGTTCAAGTTATTTCAGAACTATGTTCTTTGATTAGAAATAACTTAAATTGTGTTCGTTTCTTTCTTAAGGATATTTTCATTGCTGGAAGTGAGACGTCTTCGACGACGGTAGAATGGGCAATGTCAGAAATGTTGAAGAATCATAGAGTTCTTCAGGAAGTACAAGCAGAAGTAAGGCGAGTTTTCGGACCAAAAGGGGGAGTGGACGAGACATTGCTTCACGAACTGCACTACATGAAACTGGTGATCAAGGAGACACTGAGGCTACACGCTCCTGTGCCTCTGTTGCTTCCGAGAGAAAGCAACGAGGATTGCGAGATCGGCGGGTTTCTAGTAAAGGCACAGAGCAAGGTGATCGTGAACGTGTGGGCGATGGGGAGGGATCCGAAATACTGGAAGGAACCCGAGGAGTTTCGTCCTGAGAGGTTTATCGACAGTTCTATCGATCTTAAAGGCTCGAACTTTGAGTTCCTACCGTTTGGTGCGGGGAGGAGGATGTGTCCCGGGATGGTGTTTGGCATGGCGAATGTTGAGTTGCCATTGGCCAAGTTTCTGTACCATTTTGATTGGGAGCTTGCAGGTGGGATCAAGGCAGGAGATTTGGACATGGAAGAGTCGTTTGGAGCCACACTTACAAGGAAAAATGATCTGAAATTAGTTCCGATCCCATACCAGCAGAGTTAGGCTCTTCATTTATGTTATGCAGATGAGGAAGAAAATAAAAAAATAAGGTCGTTACCAAAGTCGAAACAGGGGGGACAAAAGTAAAAAAAAAAAAATGTATCAATAACTAGGTTTCAGGTTTTTTTTTTTTTCCAACGTAGGAATGACATGAGTGAAATTAGAACTTTTTTTGTGTGTTTTAGGAAATTAATGTTTTTGTTAACTAAATGGGAGGAATGATCCACTTCGGCAATTTGTGTGGAGATTCGGGAATGATTAGTGCATATTATGATTCATATGTCGCATTAATCAGGTGTTACTCGATAAAAGAAATTTTGGATTGATCATGTATGTTTATTTTGTTGATAATGTCGCTATGTAATGACATAGCTGTAATCTCGCAACGATTCAATGATATTTGAGTTGTATAAAAAAACACAAAAAATGAGGAACCATTTCTTAAAAATGAAAGGAATGTGTAAAAGTTTGGGTGGAGTTTACTAACTAAAGCGAGTTTAATATGTACTAGAGATCATATAATCCATACTAACAAATATTAACAATAAGGAAACTTGCCCGACTCCCAACTCCCAAGTAGGACGGCAACAGGACGGATGGGTTGGGTTAGGGCAGATAGTGATATCCTTTGCCTATTCAAAGTAGTTCAGCCTTTATTCATGCTCATATTCACATAAGAAACAGGTAAAAAATCAAAACCACACATATTTGTTCGGATTTCGGGTGTCCACAATTATCAATGGAAAATAATTTCTTTTTATAACTCCAACCAATGTGTTAACATTCACACTTATTTTCACATTACGCAAGAGCAAAAGCATGACAATAATTTACTAGAACGAAGAAAATTAATTAAAACAACAGAATTTCATGAATATATTATATTTATATGCTAAATATAAAATATTTAGATAAAAATAATTATTATTTCTCAACAAAATATATTTGCATGTGTATAATCGGGCGGATTCGAGTTGAATAGTGAAAAAACTATACCCACCCATTACCTGCAATATTCGAGTTCGGCTTTTATCCGTACCCACTCAAAGTCTTTTAGGTTTTATCGTTACCCACTAAAAATCTTTCGAGTTTGAATTTTACCCTATCCGATTAGGTCAAATTCGAGCGAAAATCCATAATTACAAATATTTTTTCCATCCCTACTCCAAGCTTCTTGTTTCCCCTATCGCCTCACCTCTGTTCTTCCCAACAGACTTCTTTTCTGGCTAAATTACAAGTTTGGTCACTAGAATTACTTCAAAATTTTACATTTGCCACTAAAATTAATTTATTCCATTCGTAGTCACTTAAATTGAGTTAACAGTTCAAGTTTGGTCACTGACCGTTAATCTCCGTTAAATTTTGCGTTAAATGAGTGACGTGGCAATTAAAAAATAATAAAAAATAATTATATTTTAATTTTCCACCTAATTATTATAAAAATAAAAAAATCTAATTCCTTTAATTATTATTTTCACCTGCCAGACCGCCGTCGTTCCTCTCCACCGTCGAATGAATCCGTCCATCGTCCTCGTCGCCTCCGGCAAGCTCTGAATGATCGATCCCCAACCGCAATGCGTCAAAAATCCTCCAAACGCCGGATGGTTCAGAACTTCCTCCTGCGGGCACCAACCCGAGATGCTAACGACCCTATCCACCTTCTCTTGAAATTCCGGCGGAAGAGCCGCCAACTCTCCTGTGACTAGATCGGGCCGCATGACCCAGATGAACGTGACCTCTCTATTGACGAAGCCCATGGCGAATTCGATCAGGTGCTGTTTGGACATGGCGGTGATGCTTCCTAAATTAGCATAGATTACGTGTTGAGCCAGCAGAGGCACTCTGGCTCTTCGTTCCACAAGTTGTAGCTGATTGCGTCGATGGTCGGGGAGTTGAGAATCAATCGAAGAGTTGTATTGGTCCGATCCGGTAGACCCAATTAGGGTAGGTGGAGTCGAGTGCGGCGAGGACGTTTGGCTGTGTGAAGTAGGATAGCGGAAGCTCTACCAGCTGATTCGGCGCATTCCATTAGGCAGTGGAAAATCGGCTCTTGGGGATCCGTAGTGAAAGAAGCTTGGCAGATCCATGAGTCAGATGTTCTTCATTCCTGGCACTTCGATTGCCGCCTCCAGATACTCATTCGTTAAGTAGTTGTCGTCTACCGGGAGAATTGAAAACAATTAACTTTATTGGAATTTGACCATATGTTGAATGGATAACATAAAGAGAAATTAAGGAACTAGATTGACATTATTTGTGGGTTCAATGGAGTTTTTAAGTTATCCGAAATAGAGCTAAAGATCAGGTAATTAACCTTTGAAAGGGGTTATGCCTTTATTCAATAGAGGTGGGAATTGCTTAAAACCCATGAACCCACAAGCAGCGAAGCTGAAGTTCCCAGCAGTCGAGGCGGTGGTGGGGAGGTTGGTATCGACGGCGGGAAGCAAAGTTAGGTGAGTATCGGCGGCGCTCACGAAGAAGAGAGGAGTTGGAGACACCATATCTAGTGGTCTCTCTTTGTTGCATGTCCTAGTACACGACGGGACTGAGCGACGAGGTGGTGACTCAGTCGGAAGAGGGGTGGTGGCTAGATGGGGCGGATGATGGGGACTCTGTTCGGGCACAACAAGGTTGCAGCCGAGGTTAGATTAGAAGAGGTTTTTATCATTTTTATTATTTTTTAATAGTTGAGGAGGGAATTTTAAATTTTTAAATTGTCACGTCATGCATTTAACGGTCAACTATAAGAGTTGACCGCCACATCAGCAAAAATTAACGGCTAGTGACCAAACTTGGACTGTACAACTAATTTAAATGACTACGGATGAAATAAATTAATTTTAGTGAAAAACGTGAACTTTTATAGTAATTTCAGTGACCAAACTTGCAATTTAGCCTTAAACATAGTTTGGGGATTTGGCCTTCCTCGACAGCTAAAGATGGAGAGAGCTACACGTATTTGGGCTTTTGAATTTTGATGATTGGAAAATGGGAAAATGTCAAGTTTGATCACTGAATTTACTAAAATGTGAAATTTTTAGTCACTAGAAAAAAATAATATCAATTTTAGTCATTCGAGTTAGTAAAACGGTGCACGTTTAGTCACTCTCCTTTAATTTTATCTGATGTGACAGTCAACCCTAACAATTGACCGTTAAATCTCTGACGTGGCAATTAAAAATTAATAAAAACTAAATTTAATTCTTTTAATATTTCCACATCATTAAAATAATAAATTAAATAAATAAAAAATTAAAACCAAAATTTTCATTTCGATTAAAGTACCAAAGATCTCCACCACCGCGCTAGTCGAACAGCCGGAGTTCAGGATCAGAAGCACCGCGAAACACCGGGAGTGAAGATAAGGGCAAGTACGGGGAAACTTCCAAGTGTAAACTGTTGGAGAGGCCAACGCCTTGGGCACCGAAGCCTGAAGCATAGTCGTCGGGGTTAGCAGCCGAATTGCTCATAGCTGGACTAACTGGAGGAATTCCAGTTCGAAGGGGGAGCGCATTAAGAGACAAAGTGGTGCGGTGAGGAATATATGTGGGAACGGAAGAGCAAGTTTGGAAAGCAAATATTCTAACTTATGATGGAATTGCATAGCGAGCTAGAGAGGGAAAGAGGTCAGGAGCCCTAGAATTCAAAGGAAGAAATTGGGGAGAGAGCATTGCGGGTGGGTATGATAGCAGTAGATTTGTTGTCCAGCCGCCGCCTCTGGCTCAGACTCAGGCTTGTTGGCCTCCGCTTTAAACGAATCGCCCTCAATACAAAAAAAAAATCACTCCCTTTTCACACCCTCCGCAAACTCTGCAGCGGTCCTCGTTCCCAAATTCGATGGGGGTACTCAGATGGGGAGGGATTTTTGTTTTATTGATTTTAATGATGTGAAAATATTAAAAGGAGAAAGAGAGAGATACTTACTTCGAATAGTTCGCTAGGTTTCGGCCGTCGGTCCTAGCGGATCGCGCCGGCACCTGCGCCGGTTCCAAGGTCTTCTTGTTGTGTATCCTGTTATTCGTTCTTTGGGGATGAGTTTGATTTCTAGTCCAAATCTGAATCAGAGAGAGGGTAAGCCTACGAAGCCATGGGCGGATTTATTTGGCATTTCAGAGGAAAATCTCCTATACTTTGTCAAGCCTAAAATCGTCAATGGCGTATGCCGAAGGAGGTGCATGAGGCTGGGGCTGCTTGATGGAAGCTATGCTTGGTGGGACAGTTTCTACGCACCCCCATCGTTGCTCGTCATTCGAAGGTGGGCAAATCGCATATGGGAGCAAGATGGACTAGTTAGGGTTTCGATTCTCTCTGATCAGCTGTTTCTCATTCAAGTGTCGTCTCAATCTACATTTGATTGGATTCTCAATAGTGGGTCATGGTTCTACTATGGAAATTTGTTGTATTTGCGGGCATGGGTTTCTGGGATCAGTGTTGAGTATATGGGTTGACAAGCTCTACCTATCTGGTTACGCTTGTCGAATGTGCCTTTAGAGTATGTTGATTTTCAGGGCCTTAGTAGTATTGCGAGCTGGGTTGGGACGCCATTAGGTGTGGATCTCGGATGGGATTTACCATGGTATTGGTTGAGGTTAGGGCGGATGGGGTCTTTCCAGATCATGTTATGCTTTATCCTGATGATGATGCACCCGTTTGGGTTGGTGTGGAGTACTGTCATTTACCAGATGTCTGTTCGAATTGTTTGTTGTTTGGTCCATGCGATTGTGGTGGTAAGCCATTGAAGAGAGTCTGTCGAAGGAAGGAAGTTACTCCAGTGGAGACAGTGAGACCTCAGCTGGAAGATAAAGGTAAGGGGGTATTGGTAGTTGAGGAGGTTGTGCAGTCGAGTGACGAAGGGTGTTCTGTGGGGATTCAATCAGTGCTTATTGGAGGTCATGTAGTTGCATACTCTTCCCTTGTGAAGTTATTGGGTAATAATCTGGAGAAATCTTTCCAAGAGGCTTTGGAGTCTCCCAAATTGCCTTTAGAGGATGATTTTCAACAGGTTATCAACGGTGGCCAGCAGCAGAGCTGGTCACCAGGCAATCCAAAGAGTGTTTTGCAAATGGATTCCTCTTTTGCAGTGCTTAGTGGGATAGGGGATCGTGAGGTATGTCAATTGCAAGTAGCTCCAGTTAAGGGTGAAAGGAAGAGAGGGCATAAGCTCTCCCCCTCTCAATGAATATCCTATTTTGGAATGTGAGGGGGTTTAATAAACACCCTAAGAGGAAGGAGTTCATGAAATCCCTCGGGAAGTATAAGGTGGACGTGGTTGTTGTGTTGGAGGCAAGGGTTAGGAAGAAAAAGGTGGAAAAAGTACTGAAAAATTGTTTTGAAGGATGGGAGAGAGAGATCAATTATATAGATTCAGATCTTGGTAGGATTTGGCTTTTCTGGTCATCAGACATTAAACTACATGTCATCAAGAAGGGGAAAAACTTTATGTATTATGTGGCTAAAGGCCAGGATGATGTTCCCATGTTTGTGACAGCAGTATATGGATCCAATGATGAATTAGAAAGACGTGGTACTTATGCTGAAATGAGTAGATTCCTGGTGAAATACAGACCTTGGATAGTAGGGGGAGATTTCAACGTAGTGGTTCACCCTATGGAGACATCTAATCTACTTTCAAAGTCGTCTAGTATGGTGGATTTTGAGCAATGGTTGAATGATATGGAGCTAATGGACTACAGAACAATGGGGTCGTGGTTCACATGGGCTAACAATCAGGTAGACAATCCTATAGCTAGAAGACTGGATAGAGATGTGGTGAACATTGAGTGGGTAGAAAGTTTTCCGGACTGTACTATGGAAGCTGTAGTGGCACCTTTCTCGGATCACTGCGGCATCCTAGTTGCTTCAACTCCCTTGATCAAATCTTTGCCAAAGGTGTTCAAGTACTTCGAATTCTGGGAAACACATCCAGAGTTTCTTTCTATTGTGGAACAAGCTTGGAATATTGAAGTGCAATGTTGCCCTTGGAATGTGATTCATTGTAAACTGAAATCTGTGAAGATTGCTCTAAGCAAACTAAATAGAGAGGCTTATAATGATATTAGTGAGCAAGTCAGGCAGTTGGAGAAACAGTTAATGACACTTCACCATGAATCTGTTGTGCATCCTGATGAGGCTTTTTTTTAGAGCAAAGGAGGCTATGCAAGTTCGATATGATGAATTACAAAAGCAGGAGGAGAGTTTCTACTGGCAAAAGTTGAGTATTGGTTGGTTGACTAAGGGAGACAAGTGCAATAATTTCTTTCATCAATCGGTGAAAGTCCGAAATTCTAAGAAAGCCGTAAGGAAATTGATGAATGAAGCTGGGGAAGAGCTGGTGGACATTGACTTTATTTCTGAGGAGGCTGTGAGTTTTTATAAGAATCTGTTTGGTGTGGTTAATCAAGAAGTTGTTATGGATCTGGACTGCCTACGACCTCTGATCAGGAAAAAAGTACTAGAGGAAGTCGCTCGTTTACTCTGTGCTCCAGTGTTGCCTGAAGATATAGGAAAGTTTTCTTTGATCTTAATAGTCAAAAGGCGCCAGGCGTTGATGGCTTTTCAGCGGGCTTCTTCAAGAAAGTGTGACACTTAATTGGAGACGACATTGTTGCAGGTATTTTGGATTTCTTCTCCTCAAATAGAATGTTGAGTGGTATAAATGCAACAACGGTTTCTCTTTGTCCGAAAATTGCAAATGTTGATAAGCTAAAGGATTTTCGACCTATATCATGTATTAATGTGCTATATAAGTGCGCGTCGAAGATTCTGGCTAACCGTATTAGGGCTGCAATGGCCCACATCATCGATGAAAATAAAATAGCTTTTATCCAGGGCAGAAGGATAATGGACAATATTCGTTTGGCTCAGGAATTAGTTAGTGGTTACCAACGTAAGAAGCTCTCTTGGAGGTGTGTCATTAAGGTGGACCTAATGAAAGCTTTTGATTCAGTTAACTGGGAATACTTGTTTAAAGTTATGGAGTTAATGGAATTCCCAATTCAGTATAGAGAGTGGATTAAGGTTTGTTTATCTACTGCTCTCTTTAGCATCAGTCTTAATGGAGGGCTTTGTGGGTTTTTCAAAGTGACAAAGGGGGTCAGACAAGGAGATCCTTTATCTCCATACCTCTTTTGCATAGCTAGGGAGGGGCTGTCAGGTTTATTGAACAATGCTGGCTCAACAAAGCTTTTGCCTTATCATCCATTATGTAGTAAAGTTGGGTTAAATCATTTGAGTTTTGCGGATGATCTTCTCGTATTTACTACGGGGTTAGGGCAATCTCTTCTTCGTGTAAAGTCACTTCTCCAAGACTTTTACTATCTTTCTGGCCTAAAGTGTAGCCCAGAGAAATGTGAGGTCTATTTTGGGGAGAATCAGTGAATTTTAGCTCTATTGCTCTTGCGGTTTCAGGGTTTAAAGCAGGAACACTCCAGTACGGTATCTTGGATTGCCTATGCTCTCAGGATATCTAAGCTCGACTGATTGTGCTTCCCTACTTGACAAACTCACGAAACATATTAGGTCCTGGAGAGCAAAGAGTCTTTCCTATGCAGGTAGACTTCAGTTGGTTACTATTGTGTTAATGGGAATGGTTCAATATTGGTTTCAGATGTTTGTTTTCCCTAAGAAGTTCTTACACCAGCTA